AATCTAAGAATTACAAATAAGAAAACCTCAGAGAGGTGCGCACGAGCTTAATATATAAACTTAATTTAACGCAGTGGGGGGGGGGGGTGTATTTACAGTTTTGATTGGAGGGAGAGATTTCGTCCATCAGTCAGGAATCCATAATGCAAATATCTGCCGCCCACCAGTAGATATGAGGGGTTAGGAGCGAACGCAGAGACATTATACGGGCGTGAGGTATGGGGTAGGTAAGCGAGGGCGGCTGTACCTGTCATTTGCTCCTGGGCAACCCGGATAGAGAATCTGTCGATTTCAAGGAGTAAAAGGAAATCAAATAACCAGTACTTGAATTCAGTGAGTCGTTCCAAGGAAAAAGTGGTCACTGCAAGCTGGTTAGGAGATCTATACCTCTAATTGCAAATGATCTCTTCCAGGACTCAGTGCGTGGAGCGCGAAAATGGAAGGCCGCGGGTACATTGCGGGTAGAGCGGCGAGTGATAGTAAGTTGGTTCAGTAGTGATAAGTGGCCGGTCAGATACGACGGACCATTGTTGCAGACGATCTTATAAAATAATTTTGCGAGGGCGAATTGACATGTCGATGATAGTGTGAGCCAGCGTAATTTCAGGCGGTGGAACGTAACGTGAGAGGTGAGGTCGTTATTTGGTAGGAATGGGATATTACCAGAGACGAATCTGACACAGGCGTTTTGCGCCACCTGGAGGTCACGAGTGCGTGTCTTGTCAAGATCCATGAAGAAGATGGACGAGAAGTTTAGTAGTGGGAGTACCAGTGACTCAACCAGAGTCTTGCGGAGAGTGAACGACAAAGACCGGCGATAGAACTTAAGAGAGCTGAGAGAGCCGTAAACCTTCCTCACAACGTTTGAGGTGTGTGACTTCCATTGAAGCGTAGGAGAGAGGGTGACCCCAAGGTTCTTTGCCGCCATCACGAAGGGGATCATATGACCATTGACGGTGATGCGTATATATATGCGTATCATAGCCTTCGTTTTAGCAAGGTTGAGATCAAGGCCATTCCCCAAGGCCCAGTCAGCCACGGCCTGTGCATCTCGCTGGGCCTCGGCGATGCCACGCTCAATGTCCCGCGGGGAGCAGTGCACATATATCTGCGTGTCATCCGCATAGATGATATACTTGGCAGATAACAGGACTATCGGAAGGTCGTTGATGTAGATGGCAAAGAGTAGTGGGCCAAGGACACTCCCCTGCGGGACACCGGTAGCAGCGCGGAGCCATTCGGAGACAACGCTTCCCTCATCGACCACCGCCTGTAGGCGATCTGCCAAATAGTTGAAAAACCATTTGAGGGCTTTGTCGTAGAGGTTTATCTTGCGCAGCTTGGTGATCAATCGCAAGTGGCAGATACGATCGAAGGTTTTTGAGAAGTCAAAAAGCACAAGGATGGTGAGAAGCCTATTTTCGGTAGCGAACCGAACATCGTCGAGAAGACCAAGGAGCACGGTCTCGGTGGAGTGTCCCTTTCTAAACCCAGCTTGACGGGAGTCGAGAAGCTGATGTTGCTGAAGGTAGGCTGACAGTTGACGATGGACGAGGCGCGCTCGAAGAGCTTCGAGGGCTCACAGAGCTTAGCGATAGGTGGCGTGTCCGAAAGGGAGGTAGGAGACTTCACTTTGGAGAGCGGGACGATTTGCGTGCGCTTCCAGAGCATGGGGTAAAGTGAGTTGGCAATTTAGTGGTTAAAAAGCATGGTGTAGTATGGAAGGATAGTTTGCGAAACCATCGAGAGCATTTTCAGCGAGATCCCGTCCTCTCCTTTTGACTTTGAGTGGGCATCCGCGAGAGCAGCCTCTACGTCCTTGACCGACACCGGGTTTAGATTGAATTGAGGAAATGAGAATGAGCGAGAGAGTGGCATCGATGTCAGATTGTCGTAGCAAGAAAGAGTAATAGGCGGAAGCTGGTTGACGATTTTGGCGAAGTGATAATTTAACGCTGTGGGTGAGAAAAATTATAGTGGAGAGGGCATGGATTTTTGGGCAATGCCGAGACAGCGAAGCTCTCTCCATTTGGTCTTGGGATCTGTGGCAGATGCAAGTTTAGCCGAGATGTGCTTACTTTTTGCAGTGTCAAGCTCGTTTGAAACGCGATTTCGAAGGTCTTTGTACCTCCGAATGTCACCTGAAAGCGCAGTTATTTTTGCTCGCTTGTACGCCGCCGTGCAAGCACGCATGAGGATGCGAATGTCGGCTGATACCCACGGTTTCGCCTTGGCAGACAGTTTTGTCTGGCGAACCGGGGCGAGGGTGTCGAAGGCTTTCAGCACGGTATTTGAGAGGAAGCCCTCGAGTGAATCCAGGGACATTTGAGTTGGGTCAGTAAGGGTGGTCTGCGGTGATGGGTACTGTGCGGCAACGTACTCGGCAACCAGTGAGTTTAGCTGCACTGTGTCAACGCTTTCAAGTTTGCGAATGAGGAAGGTTTTCATGGCTGAGGGGGGAACCGTGGCATAGATAGACAGCTTGATAAGGTCGTGACAGTTAATAAAAAGGGCCGGCTTTGCTGAAAAGGAGTGGATATCTGTGTCGTTTTTAATTAAGAAGAGGTTCAGAAGAGTGTGAGAAGCATGACCATCCTGGAATCGATGACAAGTAGGCAGCAAGCGTAGCGCTCGATTTGTTCTCGGAGCACATTGACGTAGTGTAGAGAGAGAGAGAGAGAAAGAAAGAGAGAGAGATAGAGAGAAAGAGAGAGAGAGAGAGAAAGAAAGAGAGAGAGATAGAGAGAAAGAGAGAGAGAGAGAAAGAAAGAGAGAGAGAGAGATAGAGAGAAAGAGAGAGAGAGAGAAAGAAAGAGAGAGAGAGAGATAGAGAGAAAGAGAGAGAGAGAGAAAGAAAGAGAGAGAGAGAGATAGAGAGAAAGAGAGAGAGAGAGAAAGAAAGAGAGAGAGAGAGATAGAGAGAAAGAGAGAGAGAGAGAAAGAAAGAGAGAGAGAGAGATAGAGAGAAAGAGAGAGAGAGAGAAAGAAAGAGAGAGAGAGATAGAGAGAAAGAGAGAGAGAGAAAGAAAGAGAGAGAGAGATAGAGAGAAAGAGAGAGAGAGAGAGCAGCATCTACGCTATACGGTGTACGTACTTAGCAAGAATATAGCTTACCAAGCTAGAGACCTCTCTCCAAGGGCGCAAACCTAGCCAACATATAGCTTACCAAGCGCCCTACCAAATTCTACAGCATCATACCTTAACAACCTCTATAGGTGAGAGGGAAAGTGCACTCTGTCAAAAGGGCTCATCTGGGAGATAGACAGATGTCACATGCATTGGCGCTGCTGGAACGCATCTTCTATACAAAAGGTACATCGATTGCCATTTAGATGCTCAGCATGAAATCTCACCTTATCACGATAACACACATCTTACATTATCGCGATACCGCGACACCTTCATCGGGTGGCCTCTTTGTGTCCCAGAACATACATATATATTGGCGGCTTCCTTTGACGACTCTTTTGTGTCCTAGAACATATATTGCTTATCTACTAGTGTTTGATTTGTTTCTGTTAACTATGTCAGTTGAAAAACCTTTCATAACTACATTAAATTTTTACTTAGGGAATTCTAATACTGGTACGATCTAATACGAGGGTCGTTTGAAAAGTTCGTGCAAAAATAAAAACTGCTTGATTTTTTTTAATAAATCTTTTTTATTTTTCAACATAGTCTTCTTTTAGGCTTAAATACTTCATCCTATGCTGCTTTAGTTTGTTAATCCCTTCCAAATAATAGGATTTGTCCATGTCTGTAAAATAGGCATTCGTTTCTGCAATCACCTTCTCGTTTGAATAAAATCTTTTCCCCGCCAGCCATTTTTTCATATTAGGGAACAAATAGTAGTCCGACGGAGCCAAGTCTGGAGAATAGGGGGAATGTGAAACGAGTTGGAACCCTATCTCCATCAGTTTTGCGGCCACAACTGCTGAGGCGTGAGCTGGCGCATTGTCGTGGTGGAAGAGGTCTTTTTTGTGGGCCAATCGTGGACGTTTCTCTAGCAACTCGGTTTTCAAACGATCCAATAACGATGAATAATATTCGCCTATAATGGTTTTACCCTTTTCCAGATAGTCGATGAAGATTATTCCTTGCGAATCCCAAAAGACAGTCGCCATAACCTTCCCGGCCGAAGGAAAGTCTTCGCCTTTTTCGGAGCAGATTCCCCCTTGGTAACCCATTGTTTAGACTGTTCTTTGGTCTCAGGAGTGTAGTGAGGTATCCATGTTTCATCTACAGTGATAAAACGATGCTTAAAGTCTTGTGGATTTTGCTGGAACAGTTGCAAACCATTCTTGCAACACTTCACACGATCTCGTTTTTGGTCAGTCGTGAGCAATCGCGGCACCCATCTAGCGGATAGCTTTTTCATGTTCAAATGTTGGTGCAAAATATTATGTACCCATTTGCTCGAGATGCCTACAGTACTAGCAATCTCACGTACCTTCACTCTTCTGTCAGCCATCACCACATCATGGATTTGATCAATGATTTTTGAAGTGGTAACCTCAACAGGGCGTCCAGAACATTCAGCGTCTTTTGTGCTCATATGGCCACTCCGAAAATTTTGATACCACTTATAAACCATTCTAATCGAAGGTGCACAATCACCATAATGTTTATCAAGCTTCTGTTTAATCTTTTGAGGCGTTTTACCTTTGAAAAAGTAATGTTTAATCAATACACGAAATTCTTTTTCGTCCATTTTTTTATAACTACTCGATTTCTTTGATTGAAACGAATATAAAACGCAAAGTAATTGGCCGATCTGGCTGAAACTTGGTGTATGCTCTTCCAAGATATGCCACTAACTGAAAGTAACCTTGATACGCACTAGTAGCGCCATCTCTCTGACTTTGCACGGACTTTTCAAACGACCCTCGTATGCTGAGATAATCAAACATGATGTATACTCTAGATGTTTTGTGTAAAAAAAATGGCAATGTACAAAAAATCTCATTTTACATTTTAATCACTTTTGGATATTATTTCAGTTGTATCGGAAGGAGTTTTCCTTCTGGGATTTTAAACGAGCAGTGATAAGTACGCTAATTCAAGTAATAAAAGCAATCGGTGGCAGCATTACAGCATTAAAAGGTCAATTAATTAAAGGAAGTGGATTTGTTGTATCATCAACAGGTCGTATAATCAGTAGTACTGGAAATGTAATAACTGATTTAGGTACAAAATTGGCAAGAAGTGCTATTGTACAACCACCATTATCAATAGATTCCATTTATCAACATTTTCCTCATACCTATCAGTTATCTAACATTCTTAGTAAGTAAATATATTTTATTTTTCATAATAAGCAAATAACAATTATTTTCTACCATAACACTGATATAAATACATATTTTTCTGTTGTCTAATACTGTATAAGATATACTGCTATAATTTTTCAAATATAGTACCAGTAAATTGCTATTGCCCAAGAAATTGTTCAAAACCTTAAAATTTCATATCAAAGAAGAAATAAAAGTACTTAGACCAGCCTTGGTGATTTTGAAAAGTGATTTTAAAATCTTTGAAATGATATTTATGTCAAATACAATTGATATTTTCCTCTGATTTTTAACAATCTGACGATAATATAACTTTGAAAATTGAAATATTTTTTTACCAATTTGGACTCCTGCCTGTATATTAAAAAATTTTACAAAAATTCAAAGTAAATCATTTTGTTGCTTTTTTTGAGCACTATCCAAAAATGAGCCCTTGTATTCATTGCATCCGAGCATTTTCAAGAACATAAGTATTATTGCTTTCTTGGATTACATTAGTTTCTACGATAACGTCACCTTTACCTATTCAACTGTATTTTTTAAATCTTTTTTAAAAATAATAGTGTACTCGTATTAATGGAATATAGTGAATGAGGTGTAAAAGATCATCGAGAAATTGACCTCTCAACATGAATTTAGAAACAATAACTATGCCAAGCACTAAGGTTATCATTTGATTCTCTAGAAAGGTAATATTTTTGATGGAAGATTTTAATGTTGAGTTAATATATTATATCAGACATCGATTATCAAATAATATATAATAATAATTTTATTCCAGATAAGTACAATTAAGAACTTACGAGGGTGGTCCGATAAGTACTTAGCCTACAAAAGAAAAACGAAAATTTTAGAAAAGTGGCGTTTTATTTTTCAATACAGTCTCCTTTTAGTTCGATACACTTGGCCCAGCGATGCTCCAACTTCTTTAACCCTTCTGAAAAATACATCTCCTCGAGGTCTGAAAAGTAGGCTTCTGTGGCAGCGATTACCTCCTCATTCGACTCAAATTTCTGCCCGGCGAGTGACTTCGTCTCTCAACTCCAACCTCCTATCCTCTCTCATTTATTTCTTATTCTCCAATTTCTTGTTTCTTTCTATCATCTTCTCGAAAGCTCTTATATATTGACACGTGCCATAGTCTATCCTTCTGTCTAGTACTTTTCTCAATTTTCTTATTAATTCTTCTCCTCTGCTCTCCAGTCATCCAAAGCCTTTACCCATTCTTTTCTTATAATCTTCCTCGCCGTCTTGCATATCCAGATGGGTTGTTGATCCTCTTCCTCGTTTCCTCATACTCTGCATATTTGGTTGGTTTAACCTTTGTTCTCTTCCTTCCCTATGCTCCCGCACCTTATTATTGCCCATTCCTCTTTCAGATGGCCCTCACTTCCACCTTCTCTCCAGTAATTTTCTCTCCCTAATGATTTTTTCCATTCCCTGTAGTACTTCCAATATTTATATTCGTCGATCTTGTTCCATCTCACTTGAATGTCTTGTTCTGTCCTTATTTTTAAGTTTCTTTCTGTGATTTCCGTAAATTTTTCTTTCTCTAACTCGTTTTTCATTAGTATTTTTTGTTCACCATTTCCTGCCTTATTGATTAATTCCAACCACCCCCTTCCCCATCTTGTAGGATTATTATTCCTTATCCCTCTCATTCCCTCCTTTAAACATATTTTCGGAAGTCTTCTGTCATCTATTTCAGCGATCTTCCCTGTGCAATTTGTCGCCCTCTTTATCGTTTCCAAATATAAGCCTCCTAAATATAATACTCCTGCCTCCATTTTTCATATGTAATCTGGTGTATTCTTGTTGATACCTAGTGTCATCTTGACTACCTTTGCTTGAATTTTTTTCATATCTTCTTCTGTGTTCAGCCCCATAACTCCGATCCATATAAACATCCCGCTCTCCCCATTGAATTCAGTATTAGCAGTCTCCTTACCAGTGTGTTAAGTCTTGCTCTTTTCATTAAATCCCATATGCTATTCACCGCCTTCTGTGCTTTTTACTTCATTTTCTTTATATTCTTTGTAGTAAACCAAAACCCTCAATACTTATATTCTTTTACTACTTCTAATTTTTCTCCTTTCTAACTACATTTTGCATCTCTCCTTAACCTTCCTCCCCGTCTTATCACCATTACCTTTGTTTTATTTACGTTTAGCTCCATTTCATTTCTCTTATTATATCCTTGCATGCTATTGAGCATTTCTTGCAATCCCTCCTTGGTATCGGCCATCAGTACTATATCGTCAGTGAACTTTAATCTATAAACTTTTTGGTTTCCAATTACTGTTCCCCCTTCCTTTTTGTCAGTCCACATTTTATCTAAGTCGTTTAAATAGATATTAAAAAGAGTAAGACTTAATGGGCAGCCTTGTTTTACCCCTCTCATGGTTCTGAATTCCTTTAAAATCCTTTTGTCCATAATCACTTTGCATATTGTTTCTCTGAATATCTCACTTAATATCCTTAGAATTTTTCCTGATACCCCTTCCTCTTCAAATTTTCTCATCAGAATTTTCCTGTCTACCGAATCGAAGGCTCTCTTGAAGTCAATGAATACCAAGTGTATGTTCCCTCTTTCTCTCTTAATTTTGTTCTCTGTTATGCTGTTTAAGGTGAAAATATGATCCCTCATTCCTTTTTCCATCCTGAATCCTACCTGACTCTTTCCTAGTATGCCTTCCTCTTCGATCCTGGATCTAAGTCTGTCATTTTAAATTCATACAAAAATCTTGTAACCCACATCTAACACGGATACCCCTCTATAATTCTCCGCTTTATTTTCCTCGCCAGCTTTGTAAATTGGAAAAATGCGGGCTTTATTCCATTCCTCTGGTATCTTTCCGGTGGCCTATATCTCGTTCAAAGACTCTGTTAGTTCTGACAGCAAACCTTCCATCATATTTTTGTAGAACTCTCCGGAAATTCCATCTTGTCCCACTGTTTTGGCTTTTTTAATGCCCTTTATAGCCCTCTCTACCACTCCTCTAATTATCACTTTATTCATAACGCTCTGGTTGCATCAGGGCCTCTTTCCATCTTCCTCTCTTTTTTCTTCACTTCTTTCTTCTTTTCCTCCCGTGAACTCTTCTAGTTCCTTTTGAAGGTCAATACGTTCCATTCTTTCTTCTTTCACAGGGTTAAAATGCTTCAACTATTCCTCCTCAGGGATCCTGGAGGCCTTCTTACCCTTCGCTTTTCCAAAGCTTTTCAATGCTTCTCAGAAATCTGTTCCTCTCCTGCTTCTTTCGAGCCTTCTCCACTTAACTTCCGCTAACTCCTTTTTCTTCTTGTTTTCTAACTCTCTTAGCATTCTCTTTGTCTCATTATATTCTTCTCTGTCCTTATCTTCCTTTGTCCACAGGTATTTGTTAAGTTTTTTCCAAACTCGTCTTCTCATCTCCTTATATTCTATGTCCTTCCATTCTCTTTTCTCTGCTATTTCTCTCGTCCTATTCTTAATCACTCTTCGTAGTCCTAGTTTTTTTGCTATATCCTGCAAACTCTCGTTTATTCTTTTCCATCTTCCTTCTTTTATTTTCGTGTTCCAATCCTTCTTCTCATCTTCAATTCTACTCTGTACTCCGTTTTATTTCCTTCTTCCCATACTATCCTCGCTGCTTCGCTCTATTCGTTGTCTTCATCATCCAGCTCCTCCCCTACTTCAGCGTTTCCCTCTATTCCTGCGTCAATCTCGAATGAAATGGGTAGGTGATCCGACACTAGGCTTCCCTCTATTTTCATCCTTTCCACTATGTCTCCTGTTGCATTTTGCCTTTCAACGAAATACTCGAGAGTAGAGCTGCATCCTGAACTAATATATGTTATCTCTCCTTGCCAGTCGCCTTCAGTGTTCCCATTTCTTATAAACCCCCCTAGCTTCTCACGAAGTTCTAACATTCTCTCTCCTTATTTGTTCCTTATGTTGTCCTGTGATCTTCTTCTTCGGCCGTTGCTTTCTTCTTCCTTCCCCTCCCCCCACTCTTGCATTGAAGTCCCCAATTATCAGTAGACCATTTGCTTTTTCTTCTCTTTCCTTTAGTACTTTTTCCAGCTCTCTTTTTATTGATGCCTTCGTTGATATACACTGCTACTACGTCACATCTTCTTTCAATTGAGATCTTATTCCTTCAGCAATCACTCCAAATTTCCATTCCTTCATCTTAACCCCTACAGCTATCCATTTTTTAATTCCAATTAAGACTCCTCCGCTTGCTCTCCTTCTTCTTTTGGGTTTTACAGCCGGTAAAACTCGTGGTGTCATTTCTGTCGAAGACGATTCATAGATGGTGACTAATAAATATCTCATCAACATCTAGGATATCTCAACCAATTTTTCCACAAGACAATCTTTTGCAATTAAATGAGGTTAGAACTCAATTGAATCGTTATCATAGATGATCCAAAGAGATTAAAACTGATCGTAGAGCTGAGCCTGACCATCATCGAAAACTAAAACAACCAACACAACTACAAGTACGAGATGAGAAAACTACTCAGCGTGAACGAATGGTTAATAAATTACAGACAGAATAACTCTCCTTTCAGGAACAATTGACTTAGTTTTTTATTCAAAAATCAAATGAATTCAACTTTCTCTATTATGTAAATAATATCAATAACAATCATAATCAACATGAACACACCATAGATTAGGTTAGAAGCTGAAAATTTGAATACAATTACACCTTTTGAATTGGAGGTTGGTTATAACATGAAAACTGGTACTTACAATAGCACGACTATATTACATGATTATTTGAATCAATTTATCGACAAGGGAAACGGTTACTTCAGTTGTTTCTTTACGCAATAAAGAAAAGGGCATATTGAATAGTTATACAAGTGAAGAAACTTTAGATTGACGAAACTTGTTGGAGAGTATATCTTTCACCAAGATATACTAATCTTTTTAAATATTCCTGGTTCAAGAGTGGTTACCTCACTAAAAAACCAGAAAATTTTGACAATCCTGTTGCTTAC